ATAGATCTGCCTTGCCAACCCTAGCCTCCCCTGTAGTCATTGTCTTCCCAAACCCAGAGCTCTTAGTTCCTGGTTCTCCGCCCCCCAGATCTTTTTGGAGCCCAACCTCTGGTTCCTTTTGGGGTGTTGGGTGGTTCTAGTGCACCCCTCTCCCCTAATCTCTCTGCTTTTATGACCTTTTGTGGGTATGAGAGTATGGGGGCTATGCCCTGCCTTTCCTGGGCCCCTCCCCACATCCTGGCCTTGGCCTTTGGTGACTGTTTTGTCTTTGCCTCCCTGCTTCCTTCCCAGGTTTCGGTCTAAGTACCACCCAGATGAGGTGGGGAAACGTCGGCAGGAGGCCCGGGGGGCCCTGCAAAACCGACTGAGAGTATTCCTGTCTCTCATGGAGACTGGCTGGTTTGATAATCTTCTCCTGGACATAGACAGGGCTGATTCCATCGTCAAGATGCTGGATGCAGGTATGTGTTCTTGGAGGGCTGGAGGGTGTCTGGTGACCAAGATCTTGGCTGAGAAATAGAAACAGGTTGACGGAGTCGGGGTTCTTAGATTGTGACCCTGTCTGCCTTTTGTTGTTAGCTGTGATTAAGATGGAAGGAGGCACAGAGAATGATCTACGCATCCTGGAGCAAGAGGAGGAAGAGGAGCAGGCAGGAAAGCCTGGGGAGCCTGGCAAGAAAGAGGAAGGCCGGGCTGGACCAGGCCTGGGGGATGGAGAGCGCAAAGCCAATGATAAGGATGACAAGAAAGAAGACAGTAAACAGGTAGAGTGATGGGGCCCACAGGAGCTGAAATAAGGGGGTTGGGTACTGGAGGTGGAGGGTTGAACCTCTGGGCTCAGCCGTGGAGAGCGGGAGCCAAGCCTCTGATAAAGCTTTAAGGGGAATGTAGAGTTTTTCATGACTGTCTGTACCTCTAGGCTGAAAACGATGGTTCAAATGATGACAAAACTAAGAAGTCCGAGAGTGAAGGGGACAAGGAAGAGAAGAAAGAAGACTCTGAGAAAGAAGTGAAAAAGGTAAGCATCTCTTGCATGGGGCTAGCACTTCAGGGCTGGGGCCTGGGTTATGACTTTGCTCTGCTTCTGTGGCTCCCATAGAGTAGCAAGAAGCGGAATAGGAAACACAGTGGTGATGACAGCTTTGATGAAGGCAGTGTGTCTGAGTCCGAGTCAGAGTCTGAGAGTGGCCAGGCTGAGGAGGAGAAAGAGGAAGCTGGTAGGTTTTATTTTTTGCTGCTAGTCTTTTATTGCACGGGTGGGGGAAGGTGAGTAGTGAAATTGGTGCAAGGGTAACTTTCAGGGGTGATACCTCTGGTTGTTGTTCAGTAACAGCTTCTCTGCTCCACTGAAATCAGTAATAAAAAACCACCCTCTCCTACCACTTCTTGCATAGAAGATGCCCTCAAGGAAAAGGAGAAGCCCAAGGAAGAAGAAAGGGAGAAGCCTAAGGATGCTGTGGGGCTGGAATGTAAGCCACGGCCCCTGCATAAGACGTGTTCTCTCTTCATGCGCAACATTGCGCCAAACATCTCCCGGGCTGAGATTATTTCTGTGAGTGGGCAAGGAGGTACTGGGGCAAGGGTGGCACCAGGTTCATCCTTTGGGGTTGGGGACAGAAGACAGTCTGTGCTGCCTTTGACATAGGGTGGGTCCCTGCTGTTTGAGAGCTGGTCTTGCTTGCACTGTTGCTGTCTGGGGCTGGTTTTCTTAAGCTCTTAGCTGGCTTTTCCTTGCTTGAGGATGGGAAGGGTTAAAAGGCATCTCCCAAGGTTCTGAGGACAATGGGGACTGGAGGAAAAAGTGAATCCTCTAGTCACTAAATTGGGATTCTGTTCCCTTGATTCTTGCAGCTTTGTAAAAGGTACCCAGGCTTTATGCGTGTGGCGCTGTCAGAGCCCCAGCCTGAGAGGAGGTGAGGTGCTGGACACCTTGCTGGGGGGAGGTTAGTGGCCAGCACCATTTTCATCCCAGGACTGTGTTGATATTCTTTCTCATGTAGGTTTTTTCGTCGTGGCTGGGTGACCTTTGACCGCAGTGTTAACATTAAAGAGATTTGTTGGAACCTACAGAATATCCGAGTAAGTTCTGGGAGTGGACTGTTTGTAGGAAGGAAAGGGTGTCTATCCATGTCCCACACCACTTCTGACCCCCGTGTGCATTCATTCTGCCCCTGCTTTCATACAGTATGCTCACGCTCGTTGAATTCCTGTCTCTGGGTAGTGCTCCAGGGCTGTTACCATGATCAGACACTTCCGGTTCCTGTCCTCAGGGACTTACTCTCTAATCAGTGGAGTTCTCAATAGGACCAGTCTTTGAGCTGCTGCTTCTGGGCCAGTTCGTTTTGTCATGTCCTCTTCCTTTCAGCTCCGGGAGTGCGAGCTGAGCCCCGGTGTGAACAGAGATCTGACCCGTCGTGTCCGCAACATTAATGGTATTACCCAGCACAAGCAGATAGTGCGCAATGACATCAAGCTGGCAGCCAAGCTGATCCATACGCTGGATGACAGGACGCAGCTCTGGGCCTCTGAGCCTGGGACACCTCCTCTGCCAACAGTCAGTGACTCCCCAGGGGATTGTTTCCAAAGCAGCTGCTGCCATCTCATGTGCTCCTGACACCTATGACCTCACTTGATCTGTAGCAGTGACCTCTGGGATTCACCCTACCCTTTCTTGTTTGCCCTTTCATCTGGGTAGCACCTCCTCCAGCTTCCACCAGCACAGACTGATGTAGTCATTTGTGGGTTTGGGTGGAACAAGTGCAGAAATAGAGCAAATCATAGGAGACAAGGGAATGGTTTTGTCAAGTGAGTCCTGAATTCCTCTGCCCTCCATGTTGCCTCTTCTCTATCTCATTGCCTGTCTCCTCCCTACCAGAGCCTGCCCTCGCAAAACCCAATTTTAAAGAATATCACTGACTACCTGATTGAGGAAGTGAGTGCTGAGGAGGAGGAACTGCTGGGGAGCAGTGGAGGGGCCCCCCCAGAAGAGCCTCCCAAGGAAGGGAACCCAGCAGAGATCAATGTGGAGCGGGATGAGAAGCTGATCAAGGTGCCAGTTACAGTTGTATGTGGGGCGAGAAGAGCATGTAGGCAGTGAAGGGGTGAGTGGTCACATAGTGGCTTCTTTTCTGTTTCCCTTAGGTTTTGGATAAGCTCCTTCTCTACTTGCGCATCGTGCATTCCCTGGATTATTACAACACCTGCGAGTACCCCAATGAGGATGAAATGCCCAATCGCTGTGGCATCATCCATGTTCGGGGGCCTATGCCTCCCAACCGCATCAGTCACGGAGAAGGTGAAGTCTGGGTTCCTCATTCCCAAGTCTCCTTCCATTGCCCATTCTCCCTGACTGCTGTTGCAACCCTTTCTGATCCCCTTCTATTACTTTGTCTGTACTGGCCTTTGAACTCGGCCTCACGCTTGCTAGGCAGGTGCTCTTACCATTTAAGCTGCTTCGCCATTCCTAACGCTTTCTTATCCTTTGCTTCCAGTGTTCTCCAACCTTCCTTTCTCTGTTCCCCAACCACAGTGCTGGAGTGGCAGAAGACCTTTGAGGAGAAGCTGACTCCGCTGCTGAGTGTGCGGGAATCCCTCTCAGAGGAAGAGGCCCAGAAGATGGGTCGCAAAGACCCTGAGCAGGAAGTGGAAAAGTTTGTCACCTCTAACACCCAGGAACTGGGGAAGGATAAGTGGCTATGTCCTCTCAGTGGCAAGAAATTCAAGGTCTGGGATGTTAAGAGAAATTGGTGGGCTAGAGTGTTGGGAGGTGGGTTGGGGCAGGAAGTTGTCTCCTAAAGACCTGGATGGGTGGAGGGGTGATGTTCTTTGGCCTAGCCTGAGAGGGAGGTTGCTGGATCTTCTCAGTTTGTCTGGAAGTGAGGGAACCCGACATTACTCTTTACTGACCCTCTCCACCCAGGGTCCTGAGTTTGTGCGCAAACATATCTTCAACAAACATGCAGAGAAGATTGAGGAAGTAAAGAAGGAGGTGGCATTTTTTAACAATTTTCTCACTGATGCCAAGCGCCCAGCTCTGCCTGAGATCAAGCCAGCTCAACCACCTGGCCCTGCCCAGAGTAAGATACGATCCACGAGGGTTTGACAGACATCTCCTCCTGCAGGGATTTCTCTCTTTAGCCTGTCATTCTGCTGGGGGGTATGATTCAAGTGGTAGAGACCTACTTACCATTCCTCAAGTTTCTACCCACCCCTCTTCGACTTAGGCCACTCTGGGTAGTGTCTGTCTGTTTTCCGTGCCTCCCCCCCCCCCCGCAGTAATTCATGTCCCTGTCTGTGTTGTACTCCCCCCAGGCCTGACTCCGGGACTCCCCTACCCACACCAGACTCCCCAAGGCCTGATGCCCTATGGTCAGCCCCGGCCCCCCATCTTGGGCTATGGAGGTAAATTTAGGAGGGAGATGAAAGGGCTCGGTGGTTGTATGGGGCTGGGAGGAAGAAAACTTAGCTAGGCTCTGGTTCTGGTCATAGTTTTTCAACTTTGTGGATCTTTCTCATAGCTGGTGCTGTCCGCCCTGCAGTCCCCACAGGAGGACCTCCATATCCCCATGCTCCATATGGTGCTGGCCGAGGAAACTATGACACCTTTCGAGGCCAGGGAGGTTATCCTGGGAAACCTCGAAACAGGTGAGTGTGAGCTGAGATGTCCAAGCTTTCTTGTCTCTAAGGTCAGGGACCTCAGTTCTCATTCCGCTTGTCTCACAGGATGGTTCGTGGAGACCCAAGGGCCATTGTTGAATATCGTGACCTGGATGCCCCAGATGATGTTGATTTCTTTTGAGCCGTCCACTTCCCTCACTACTAGTATCATCTGTACTTGTGTCTGCCTTGTCCCATCAGCTGAGAATTTTTTGTACGTTAGCCTTTACTGCCAATAAAAGCACTTAAGTAGTGTCTCTTAACTCAATGTATGTAATACACCTTCCCATGGTGGACCATGCCAATTTATTGATGCTGAAGGGAAATAAGTACATAGGTATGAATCAGTTTCAGTTCTGGGCCTTCTCCCTCAGTCCACGGTGTGCTGCTGCTTTTCAGAGTTTCTGCTGGTCAAGCACAGGTTGTAGAAAGAGTTGGGGTCAAAGGCTGTGCTTACCTCTCGCCAGGCTACCCACCCACCTGCCTGTAGTTCACCAGGACTTTTTGGAGTGCCCCAGTAGTGGGGGTCCAGTATCAGCACGTAGGCTTCCGTACCTGGCCCCAGGCAGACTCCCAGCAGGGCCTTGGACTGGGCGTCCGCGTCCCCTCCTATCATCACGGGGCCGCCACCCCCTGAGAAGTGGGAGTAAAGCCTCTCCAGTTCTCCCTGAAGACCCGCTCCACGGGGCACATGGAATAGGCGCCCCTGGGGCCCTCCGAAGTGCGCGAGGCAGAAGCAGGCCTCTACACAGCCAATCCAGCTCCGGGAACCCTGGAACCCGGGGGGCTTGTCGCCCATGTCCTCCAGGGCGCCCTGCACGGCCATCAGCTCAGGCACGCCTGTGGCTGACCCTCTGGCCACGAGCACAGCGTCTGCAGAGTACGATAGCCACAGCCCCAGCCCCGGTCATCCAGCCCATCGCAGCCGTAGTGGTAGTAGAGGTAGTGGCCCGAGAGAAGGGCCAGGCGAGCGGGGCCACGGCACGGCGGGGCCAGGCCCAGGTGGACGTCCTTTAGCGGCCCCAGCGTGGCTGGCGGTCAGTTACCGGTGACGCCGGGTAGACTCCTCTTAGGCGGCGCAGGGCTAGCTCCAGGTTTCAGCGGTTCCTCCACACCCCAGCGAACAGGACTGGAGCGCGGAGTCGCAGAGGCTCACCCAACACAAAATGAGCACGGAGGGCACGCAGATGCCTCGAGGGGACTACCATCGCCTCAGAGCTCCCACAATGCACCGCAACACACGCCCGCCAGCCTCACTGCGCAGGCGCGAGCTCCTCCCCGCGCGGCTGCAGCGGTTCGCGCAGGCGCCTTGCAGCTTCTAGCCTTCGGTCCTGCTCGGACTGGTCCCCAGCGACCCCTGCCTTCTGTCTCCGCCCCTTCCCCGGCTCCCCAGTCGCGCACACATTGGTGGCTGTAACAGTTTATTGGCAGCCCAGAGGGGCGAAGGCACCGAGGGGGAGGGGGCTCGGCCCGAGACATGCAGAGAACGGGGAGCCCCGGGAGGAAGTCCAGATGTGGTGGGCAGGGTCTGGGGCTCGTCTGTGTTATATCCCAGCCCTTAAATAAATAGTATATACAGCTGGGGGGCCGGGCGGGGCGGGGGGACGTGGCGTTCCCCCCGGGGTCACAGGTCTGAGCAGCGATCCTGCTTGCTGTAATGGTCGAACTGGTTCTTCCAGTGCACCATGTAGGAGCTCCAACGGTGGAACTCGGCCTTCCACTGGCGCTCCGCCTCGTCCAGGGTGTCTGCAGCCAGGGCACCCGGCAAGTGGTGGGAGGAGGACGACACGAAGGAGGTGGCGATGGTGGTGGGGTGGATGGATATGAACGGAGTGGGGACACACGGAGAATGTAGGAGGCCACGTGGGATGGTGGACAGAGTATCAGAACATAAGAAAGACAACAGACCAGAGGGAGGATAAGCAGAGAGGCGGGGTCAGAGGATGACAGGAAGGAGAGAAAAGGAAAATGACCGGAAGACAGAGGGGACAGACAGGATCATAAAAGGGGAGGTTCCATGCGTTGGTGGGGGAAAAGAGAAGAGACAGAAATGGTTGACGGTTCCCGCTGTGGGGGGAGGGTGCTATTCAGCCCCGCTCCTCCTTTCCCGCCAACATCAGGCTTAAGCTCCAAAGGATAATTTTATAAAAAAAATAAAATACTGGCTTTCCATTTTTCATTTAAACAAAGGCGTGTGAGTCCCTGAGACCTGTTAATTTGTGTCTCTCAGTTTTTTTTGGGGGGGGAGTGCTGGGTCCCTGAGAGGGGCCTTTCCCCAGCGTCCGACCACGCTTTAGAGGAGGGACCCCTGAGGCCGGGTGGGGAAGAGGCGGTGGTCATAGCCGTTGAAGCCAGGAGAGGAGGAGGAGGGACAGGGGGAGGCCGGGCCTGGGCCTCGGGGCAGCCTCCCCAAGGGCGGGGCTTGGGCAGGTGCTGGGAGCCTCCGAGGCTAGGGGGGGAGAAGAGAGGGATTACACCCGGCTCCCACTGCCCCCTCTCTGCGCCCACTTTCTCTCTGCTCCTGCCTCCCTGGCCCCCGCGTACCCGTGGCGCTGAGCAATTTGGGGAGGAAGCGGTTCCAGAAGGCGCAGGCCTGGGCGCGCAGTCCCCTCCGCACCTCCAGCGGCCGCAGGTTCAGGCTCACGTACTGTTGCGCTCCAGTCGTGTACGGTGGCCACTGGGGAGCTTTGGGGTTGCGTGGGTCATTGGGGTCCCTAAGTAAGGAAAGGAAAGGCTCAGTCCCTTATAGACCTGCCCCGCCCAAAGGGACGAGGGACAGGGAGAGAGGTGTCCCCTTCCTGACCCTGAGCCCTGTTCAGCTCCATGGATACCTCCATCCCTTCCCTCCCACCGTTGCTCCAACGCGGCTTTCTCTTCTCCATGTCCTTCATCATCTAAGGGTCTTCCTTTCTTCCTGACCTCCCTATATGTCTTTCTTCCTTTTCCTCAGTTTTTGTTTTGTCTCATTAAAAAAAATGGCTACAATTGACCCTTTACTGTGTAACCAGATGCTGTCCTGTCTCTACAAACATCACGTTTACTTTGGGCAATGCCCATGTGATGCCAAATTTATTGGCCCCTTCCTCAGACAGGTAAACTGGTGTGTGTGTGAGAGAGAGAGAGAGAGAGAAAGAGAGAGAGAGAAAGTATAAATCACTGCTGGTTCAACTTCATCTAACTCTAAAGCCCAATTCTAGTATTTCTCTCCCTCTCCCTCTCTCTCCTTTCCTCCCTCTCTCCCTCTCTCCCCACCATGGTTACCTATCTTTCTCTACCCCTCTCTCATGCTGGGCAAGGCCCCCAGCATGCTAGGCAAGTGCTCTAACACCAAGCTACAACACCCCCAACCCTGTTCCTGTCTCCTTGTTCTCATCGCTTTTGTTCCATGCCCCTTGGTTTCCTTTTCTATATGAATATTTCCTCTCCTTTTCTGCCTCTCTCTGAGGGCACACCCTTACCCCCTCCCCACCCCAGTACTGCTGACCCTGTGCGGGCGAAGTTGGCCCAATATTTCATCAGTCGTTGGGCAAAGACTCTCTCCTCAAAGGTGTAGTTCAGTGAGGGATCCAAGGGGAGCCCAAAGATGAACTCGATCTCATAGCCGTGGGGCACCCCCATCCAGAGAGGCCAGGATAGTGTGGAGGCACGATGTTCAAAGATGTAGGCATAGACTCTGGCCCCCTGGGCAGCCAGCCGCCCAGCCAGCTGGGCCACAGGGCACACGACGTTGTGGTCACCCACGACAGCACTCATGGCCTCCCTCAGGCGTGCCGGGTCCTCAGGGTGCAGCCAGTCTGTGTAATGCAGGACCACAGCCTCGGCTGCTAGGTCACTTGCCTGGGGGACCCCGACCCGCACCCCAGCCAGGAACTGGGCCCGGCTGATGAGAGATTCGTTGTCTTTGCTGAAGCCTGGGGCCCCGTAAACCAGAAAATAGGAGCCCTCATCCTTCACCACACCCACCAGCACCTGGGAGTTGGGGACAGGACAGAGGAATGGGGCACAGACAGACAGGTAGACAGAAACATATGGACAAAGAGTCAGAGAGAACAGTTACAGACCAGAACCATGGAGGAAGAAAGTAGGAGATTGGGCAAGGGATGAAAAAAAGAGAAACTATACCCACAGTTCTTTCCTGCCCTGCTGACCGCCCTTGGATTTGAGCCCTCAGGGAGGAGGGGATGACCTTGGGGCCCAGAAGCCTGGACCTCTGAAAGTGGGTCCGGAGGAGCCCTCATGCCTGGGTCTCTGGGGAGAGGGGAGGGGCGGGTGAGACCCAAAGGAACCAGTTCCACCCCCAACAGCCACTGGTCACCTGGAGGCCATGGAAATCTCCAGCATTGATGAGGGCCTCGGGCGTGTCACTGAGGAAGTCTCCATCCACTACAGGCACGAAGGAAAAACGGAAGATACTCTCTTGAGGCAGCACATGCCACTCGTGGTCCACCAGGTCCTGAGCGGGCCTTGTCCGCAGGCACGCTACCAGTTCTGTGTCATTACCACCAGCACCGCCGGGGGGACAGCCCACAAGACGGGCCAGCAGTGTGGCTCTGCGACGGGCCTCTCCCACCCCCACTGTGGCCCAGGGCCCGTTGGGTGTGCCACTCTGCAGGATGGCCCTGTGGAAGAGGCTCCTGCTGGGTGGGGACAACAGATGCATGCCTACTGAGGCGGCGCCTGCACTTTCACCAAACAGAGTCACTGACATTGGGTCCCCCCCAAAGGCTGCTACGTTCTCTTTCACCCACTGTAGTGCGAGCCTCTGATCCAGCAGGCCCACGTTGCCTGGGGCCTCTCGGCTCCCAGGCAGGGCCAAGAAGCCAAAGGTTCCCACTCGGTAGTTCATGGACACTAGCACAGTCCCCTGAGTCTGGGCCAGGAAGCGGCCATCATACACATCCAAGGAAGAGGCCCCACTGTAGAAGCCACCCCCATAGATCCAGACAAGGACAGGAGTGGGGGACACAGGCCGGGGGTATGGTGTCCACACGTTGAGGTAGAGGCAGTCCTCGCTTAGCTCACGGTTGGGGTTCCACATCTCGGTGCCCTCAAAACCAGGGTACAGGGTGTCCACATATTGGTAGCAGACACTCTGGAAGGTTGTAGCATCCAGCACTCCTGACCAGGGCCGTTTGGGCTCCGGTGGCAGAAAGCGACGGGGGCCCACAGGTGGCTCCGCAAAGGGTATGCCCAGAAAAGCAGAGACAGGGCCCCCAGGTACTTTTAGGCGGATGCCCCTAAGCCTACCCGTGTGCACAGTCACCAGCAGCTCTGGGTCCTCACGGCCCTCAGCCCCTACCCCTCCACCCAGGAGGGAGAGGAGAAGGAGTGAAGAAGCCAGACAGGGTATGGGTAGGGGACACCAGGGGGGCCTCATGGCTGCCATGGCAGGCGTGTGTCTGTTGGGAGAAAGAAAGGCAAAGGGTGAAGGCTGAAGGCAACCAGGAGGGAGGAGATTAGGTAACAATCTTGCTCAAGGGTTATCATGGTACTGCAGAGGAGGTGGGGCATGTTGGCATGAGGGAGACAGGCAGAGACAAGGACACAGGCAGACAAGAGGGGACAGAGATCAGGCGTGCCACACGCACACGCACACACACACACATACACACACAAATGCGGGGAGACAGAGATAAAACCTGCCAAGGTATATCCTTCCAGGGCTCACTGTCCTTTCCTTCTTCCCTAGGCTCTGCGGCCGGGCCCGGTGCGTGCAGTGCGGGACTCAAGAGGCTGCAGACCACGCACAGGCCACAGGACAAGGGGCGGGGCCCTCACAGACGGGCGGCGCCTCTAGGAGAGCTTGAGGCTGTAGGAAGGCACAGCCCAAGTCTCTCCTAGATTGGCCAGGGCTAGGGCCTTAGAGGAGCGGGTTGGGCATCCAAGGTGTGCTACATCTCAAATCCTGCCTCCTCCACACCCTGCCCCACCCTACCCCACCTCATCTTGTCTGGCTTGGCGCGTTGATACCCGCCAGTTCCCAACAGACTCACCCCTCTGGCCTAGACCCAGCCAATTGGCTCTCCTACCCTGGCCCCCCCCCAGGACTGGAGCCCCCATTCGTCCGACGTTGCAGTGCACTCCGTCGCCAGCGGGGGGCAGTAAAGACTGAGAAGAGGACAGCGCTCCCCGCCCCAAGCCCTGGAACCGGGAGCTTAGGGTGGGGGTCTGGGGACTCGCCGGCATCACAGAGCGGCCTGGAGGGCGAGCCAGGACGGGTGTGTACCCGGAGCTCCGGAGATCCCCGTCTGCAGGGGCGGGGGCGCTATTTTGGGGCAACAGCTGCTGTGGTTCCGGCATCTCCAGCCAAGGGATCAAAATTCCCCGGGTCGGAACTCCCCCCTCTCCCGTCGTGCACCCCTCACCCAGCTCCATCGCCCTGAGCTGGGGATAGTGGTGGTGCTGGAGATTAACTAGGAAACCTGAGTGAGACTAATTATAACTCGGGGCTTCCGCTAAGCCTCCCCTTCTCTCCCCCCAAAAAAAAGAACAGACTGAGTCTCCGCGGGAGGGGGGTCTTGGACCTCGGAGGGGGCCGTGGCTAGGGCGCTGCACAGGGGCGCTGGGGTCGAGGTCCTAGGGATCGGTGTGTGTGTGTGTGTGCGCGCGTGCTATTCGGGCGCTAGGAACCTGCGCAGTTTGGGTTCATTACCCAACAGGGGGCATCTTCTAGTGGCCCCAGACTTGGGGAAGAGAGGGCAAGGGGCGTTCGGGGGTCCCCGCGGGAATTCGAGCGCAGAGGCTGCAGCTGGCCCAGGAGGCGTCGGTAAGTATGCGGTGAGGAGGGCAGAGTTACCAAGTGCGGGGCTGCGGGGAGCGCCGCTGGGCAGGCCCGGGGACACGGTGGACGTCTTGTTCGGGGGGCCTAGATCGTTCCAGGGGCGCACGGTCACTAGGATGTGGAGTGGCCGCCGGCCGGGGGAGGGTCCCGGGTGGGGAGGGAGACTCACCTGAGGCGGCCGAGCCGGGCCGGGCCAGGCCGCGCCGGGAGCTGGAGGTGGCCGATGTTCCCCGGCGCAGGCTGAGCCGACTCTGACAGCCACCGCCTCCGGCCCCCCGCACACACCCCTCCGGGCCGCACGGCGCCCCCGCCCGCCCCCGCCCACTGTCTCCGCCCCCGCCCCTCCCCGCTCCCGCGGGCTACCACCTCCCTTCTCTGTTCCTCCCTCCCAGCGGTGACCCGGAGACCCCTGAGTCCAGACGCACTCTAGTGACAGATGTCCACAGACGGACAGACACGCAGTGAAAGATACGACCCGAAGACCCGCAGAGACTGAGGAGACGTCCACGTGACAGACAGACGGACAGTAGCCTGCCGAGACAGACACCACACACGTAGGCGACAGTCTCCTGTAGAGTGACAGCTACAGACAAACCGACTTTCAAAGACGGACGGATACACTGCCGGTCTCATCGAGGCTGGGGAAGTTATCCTAAGAACAAGGGACCGAATAAATGGGCACCTGTGGCCATGACACAGCCAGGGGTGACACAGGAGGAGTGACACGTGAAAATGTGACTGAGGACCCCTTTAGGGTGGCACTGATGAAGAAAAAGATGGTGTGGGACACTCCTGAGGATGAGGGGACACCTGTGGGAATGGAGACGGGAATATGGGATCTCAAGTAGAAGTGAGGAGGGCTTCAAATGGGAAAGAGACCCCCGGGGGAAGAAGAGGTGACACGGGGACACCCGAGAAAGAAGGTCAACGTAGCGGCACGCGCAAGGCTGCAGGGCGAGGTTGCACTCCGCTGCAGCAATGGAAACTTCCGGAACCCCCGCGGGTGGGCTTGCGCTGATTCCCTGACGGGAGACCTCAGACCTTCGTCACAAGGGTCCAGCCAGGGCATGACATCATCAGGCCAAGCTTTCATTGGTCGTCGCGGCCAGCAGGTGGGAGCGGCCTGATCCTGGTGCCCCCAGCCTGCCTGCTCCGAGGGGGCCGGAGTTGCACGGATCCCGGAGCCCCGCCCTCCGGGAGGGGTCACCCACGGGAACGGTGCTGCCACGGCGGTGTCCCCGCGCCCGAGGTGACAGAGGAAACTGTGCAGCTCTGGGCCCACGCGAGTTCGCTAGGAGAAACTGCTAGCTAGCTTCCCGGGAGCAGATGGCTCCAGAGACCGCTGGCCGATGCGTGGGTGACCAGCCCGCTAGGGCGAGCGTCGGGGTGTGCGTGCGTGCGCGCGTGCCGTGGTGCGGGGCGCTGCGGGCGGGGGGGCGCGGGGGAAGCGAAGGGCGGGAGTCGCGCGCGCATGCTCGCTCTGGCCGCTACGCGCCCCGGGAGAGCATCTATTGCCTCCTGGGAGCGGAGGCACCTGGGCTCCGGGGTCTCGCGGAGGGTGGCGGGGTCCGCTGGAACCCTGAGTAGAGGCTCGCCCTGGGCTGCGCATTTCCCAGCCCTCCCAGCCCCGCACACCTACCTGCAGACCAAGACTCGCGCCCGGTTCGCTTTTGGCTCGCTCACGACGCCGCCAGGTGGCGCCAAAGGCAAATGCAAAGGCCCTTGGAGACTGGGGTGGGGTAAGGGGCGTAGGGTGACCAACCGACCCCTTGACCCCTTGCCATCTCTTCTCTGTTCTCTGGATCTCCGCGTTCCACCCTTGAGGCTCCCCAAAGCCCCTGCCTGGACACCGAGGTTCCCTGCATCTGGGTTTCTGCAGCCTGGCCTCATTCTACATAAGAGCTGTGGGTGGGAATGAGGGATAGAAAAATGGACAGTCCATGTTGGTGCAGGAGGAATGGGTCCCAGGAGGTTTCCTAGCGTAGTAATCATGAATTACTAGAATGATGGAAACAAACGGTGAACGAGTGAGCAGAGGTCTGCTCAGTCCTCAAGCTGTTGATATTTGTCTAGTGATGGAGTCTTGTCCTGCTGTCACTTTCTAACTTAGGCAGTGCCAGGCAGACAATTATTACCTCTGTAATCATGAATTCCTTGTAATGAGACAGGGAGGGTAAGGACAGTTTATTGTCCAGAGTGATCACGAAGTAATGACAGTTTAGATAGCTGATTAAGTGAAAAGACAGGACTCGTTTTGGAAGAGGTCAGTGCTGAGCCACGCTGGTTCTGACGCTGTGGAGTCAAGGACAGGGCATCTGGGTCGGGGGAGGCTGAAATCTTCAAGGGAGGTCGAGCCTATAACCTGCTGTTGAGGTAAATGACTTAGCCAAGGGGAACAGTGCTCAGACATCTGCAGAGGCTACAGTCAGATCAAGGACAAGGGCAACCAACCTCTGTCTTCTTGGGGAGGGCTTCAGTGGGGCAGGCCTGTGGGGGACAATGGGAGGAAGAGGCTGATTGTGGAGCAATCGGAAGCCAGTCAGAGCTTAATTCCAGCAGGGCACTGGTGGCTCACACCTGTGATTCCAGCTACTTGGGCTGAGGTCAGGAGGATCATGATTCCAGGCCAGCCGAAGCAAATAGTTCAGGGACCCACCCCCCCCATCTTCAAAAACAACCAGAGCAAAATGGACTGGAGGTAGAGTTTCTGCTTTGCAAGTGTGAAGCCCTGAGTTCAAAATCTGGTCCCACTAAAACAAACAGACAAACAAACAAAACCAACTTAATTTCTTTTTCTGGGGCTGGCAGTTGGAGGCCAATGATGCAGGGGATGGGGGTGTGGCTATTGAGAGCAGTATCCCACTCTCAGGGTCCAAGCTAGGGAAATGCAGGACCAGGGCTGCACAGTGGAGACAGAGGGAGAGCAGTGTGCCCCTGTAGAGGGCTAGATTGGGATTTGAGGAGGGTGTCTTGCTCTTGGAGTTCCTGGTGTGCTTCCCTAGGTCCTGGGTCAAGGAAGGGTCCATGGTAATTGAGTGTGTTGAATGTGCAAATCTTCAGGGAGCCCTGGGTACCTCTGAAGAGGGGCCCAGAGCCATGGGTGTGTGTTCAGCCTTCAGCTTGTCCCAAAATTCTGAGGATGGGGAAACTCCATGAAGATGCTCTTCTTATCTCAGAGTTTTAAAATTGGCAGGGAGCCAGGCACTGGTGGCTCACACCTGCAATCCTAGCTACTCAGCGGGGCAGAGGTCAGGAGGATTGCAGTTGGAAGCAAGTCCAGGCAAATAGTTCACAAGACCCTACTTTGAAAAAACCCAACACAAAAAACAGGGCTGGTGGAATGACAAATGATACAGTGCTTCCCTAGCAAGCGTGAAGCCCCAGTACTGCCAAACAAAACAAAACACAAAACAAAACAAAACAAAAAAGAGATTGCAGGGTGGCTCAAGTGGTAGACTGCTTGCCTAGCAAGTGCAAGGCCCTGTGTTCACACCCCAGTATTGGTCCAATTTTTTTTTTTTCATGGAGACCCATCCCATTCCCTGAGCACAGCCAGGATAAAAAGTGCAGGAGTAAGGAAATACACCCAGTAATCACTGGAGGTTGCTTGGACTGGAGGTTCTGACTCCTGGCTTCTCTCATCCAGAGCTGCTGCCAACTGGACCCCTGGACAGTCACCCTGTTTGTATGGGCCTCAGCTTCCCCATGTACAAAATAATGGATTAGAACTTGAGGATATGTCAGTATCATGAGGGTCACATAGAGGGACTTACTCATTCAGTGCTGGGTGGAGTCCTTACGTTTGCATTCTCTTCTTTTTTTTTTTAAATTTTCTGAGATAGGGTCTCACTATGTAGTCCAGGCTGACCTGAACTCTCTATGGAGCCCAGGTTGGCCTTGAACTCACGATCCTCCTGCCTCAGCCTCCAGAGTGCCGGGATTACTGGTATGTGCCTCATACCTGGCTCTGCATTCTTAGCAAGACCATCCTGTGAGGGTGGTCAGAGGACCACATACAGAGAAATTTGAATAGGTGGCCAGTCAGTCCAACACTGACCTTCCTATGTAGGATCAGCAGGGGGAGCTGTGGTGTTGGAAGAACCTGGATACCAGATGGGTAAGAACTTGACCTTGATCACAAAGATGGGTTGAATTTCCTAGAACAATCTCTCTTCTTAGCTTAAGTCTCTCCCCAACCTTTTGTCAATACAAGAACCTACTTTGCCTAGCCAAGACACCTTTCCTTATACAATCCAATACAGCTTCCTCCTGGCAACCTCCCATCCTCCCAACATGGCCCCCAACTTCCACAGCTGTCTCTGCAGGATTAAAAAAAAAAAATTTTTTTTTTTTTTTTTGCAGTACTGGGTATTGGACCCAAGGCCTCACAGTTGGTAGTTAAGTGCTCTATCACTTAAGCCAAACCTCCAGTACTTTTTTCTTTTGCTTTTGAGGTAGGGTGTCATTAACTTTGCCCCAGCTGATCTTAGGCTTGAGTCCTTCTGCCTCCACCTCCTGAGTAGCTGGCATTAAATGACCTCAACTCTTCTATCTCTTATTTTATCACTTGTTTATCCAGAAATCAGTCTTGCTTCTGTTATTAGTTCTACCTATTCAGAGAACTCCCGCTTCTCTTGAAGTCCTTGCTCCACCTCTGATAACACAAAAGATTCTCAGCTTTGTTTCTTGGTTAAGATTCAGTTCAAACCAGGCGTGATCATGCACACCTGTAATCCCAGCACTTGGGAGGCTGAGGCAAGAGGATCTCGAGTTCAAAGCCTGCCAAAACTATCTAGTGAGATCCCCTTTTAAAAAACAAAAACAAAAGAAAACAAAAAACCAAGAGCTAGAGGTATAGCTCAGTAATAGAGTGCTTGCCTACCATGCACAAGGCTCTGAGTTTTATCCTTTGAACGGCAAAAACAAAACAAAACAAAAAACCAACCCCCCCCAACTAGCTCAGATATGTGAGACAGAAAAACAATCAAGAATGGGTTAAAAGGTTGGTGGAGTGGTTCAAGTTGTAGAGCACCTGCTTAGCAAGTGTGAGTCCCTGAGTTCAAATCCCAGTGCCACTAAAAAATTTAAAGAATGGGTTAAAAAGCATAATAGAAATGTTTTTCTTTCTTATGTAAAAGAGATACAGAAGTCAGCCATTCTGAGTTGGTGCAGTGTTCTTGGTATCAGGGACATGGTTCTTTTATAGAGAATCTTGTTGCTCTTTTTTTTT